CGCCTCTGGGCCTGGCAGTTCAGGGCCCCGGCGCCTCTGGGCCTGGCAGTTCAGGGCCCCGGCGCCTCTGGGCCTGGCGGTTCAGGGCCCCGGCGTCTCTGGGCCTGGCGGTTCAGGGCCCCGGCGTCTCTGGGCCTGGCGGTTCAGGACCCCGGCACCTCTGGGCCTGGCGGTTCACAGCCCGGCACCTCTGGGCCTGCTGCATCAGTTATGAATGTAAAAAAATTCCTTGATCCCTGGCACCTCTTTCATTACAAAGTAAGCCCTGCAGTTGGACTCTGTCCCTTCAACTGCTTGCTGCATCCCCTTTGCTGGTGTGTGTGTGTGTGTGCGGAGGGTGTTGGCTGGAATGTGTCCCTTCAAGTCCCCTCCAGCACTGCAGCCCCATGGCTGGGGTGGGCACCTGGACTCAATCCCTTTAACCCCCTACCCTTAGGGCTGCAGAGAAGTTGCCTTGTTCTGCTGCTGCCTGCATTCAGCACCCACAGGGGAGCTGTCAGTGCCGGGAGAGACATTAGCTGAGCCGGTGTTGGTGGGGAATGGGCGCAGGGAGGGGCTGGGCTCTTGGGGGGCTGGGATGCCCTGGCGGCTCCCCTCCAGTGCCCAGCGGGCGCTAGAGGCAGGACGCATCCCGGTGGCACAGGGAAAGGTGGTGGTTTGGGGGGGTTGTTTCACCGGACTCCTTGTTGTTTTTGTGAAACTTTGAGGAACTTCCATCTCCAACCGAAGGCCAAAACTTACCACGCACTTAGAAAACCAGCGGAGAAGAACAGCACTTGCCGCGCCCCCTGCGCGTCAGTTTTGAGCCCAAGAGGCCTCGCCCCGGATGCCGCTGGAGGGAGCATGCCAGCAGTCACTCACCTGCTCGCTCAGACCTGCCTGGCGGCGGAGGGGAGCGCCTGGGTGCCACCGGCTCCTGCCAAGCCGCTGCCCGCACCGCCGAGCCTGGGCGCCCGATCGCCGCCTGGGGAGCCCGCTGCCGCCTGGGCCGAAGGGGACGAGGTGCAAGAGCCGACGTGTTGCTGCCCGAGGGCACAGCGGGTAGGAAGCGACCCAGGGGACGCGCTTGGGGACAGGGAGCCCAGGAACCGGACAGGGACGGGGGGCGGAGGGGGTAGAGCCTTTGCCTTATCCCCCTCCCCGGTACCCCGTAGCACCCTGCTGCTACCCGGCAGCATTTGCTGCTTGGCTCGTACTGCGCGTACTTAACTCAGTAACAGCTGATAACGCCTCTGTCCTCACTTGGGTTTAAAATCAGGGGCTAAAAGGAGGCAAATTGGAGGGGGGGATGGGCAGGGGGTGGAAACTGACTGTGTGTGGGGGGGGGGGCAAACAGCTGGAGGCAGGCGAGTGGCTGAGGGGCAAAATTAGGGAGGGTAGGAGCTGGGTTAAGCCCAGGGGTGAGGGGCTGCCAGACGGTGGCAGAGGGAAAAACCTGGCAGAGGGGGTAACAGTTACCCCAATGGGATGAGCCACCTGCCGTGATTGCAAAAATAGCATGTGGAGCAGAGGGGGGCTTTTTATTTCCCCTCTCACTGGACGCTGTGTGCTTAGAGCAGGGGCGGGCAAACTTTTTGGCCTGGGTTTCCAAAATTGTATGAGGGGTGTAGTGTAATAAAGTGATCTGTAGGAATGTGCAACTTACGGTGTACTGCGCATGCTCAGTAACATCTGCTGAAGCCACTGCCCTTCACTCTGCCCTTATTAGCGGTAAGATTCTGCAGACTGCTTTGGACAGGGGTTAAAAAGGGGCAAAGGGGCGAATCGGAGGGGGGGGTGGCCAGGATCTGAGGGGGGGGCAGAAATTGACTGGGGGGGGGGGTCAAGCAGTTGGAGGCAGGGTTAGGAGCAGTTGTATTAAACTGCTCCGCCTAGGAATGTGCTACTGGTAGCAGTTACAGATTGTAAGAAACAGAGCACTTTACTACTCTGGCTTGGCAAGCTTAGGCTGCGGGGGAGAGGGAACAGCAGGGGAGGGGCCGGGGGCTAGCCTCCTGGGCCAGGAGCCTGCCCTGCTCCTGGCCCAGGGTCCCGTGGGCCGTAGTTTGCCCACTTCTGGCTTAGAGGCATTCCAGTGCCTAGGTGCGCAGTTCCTCTCTATCTGATCTAACGTAGGGAGGTGCTGCTTGAGTCAATGGAATATTTTATGTACACGCCCAAAACCTGTCTCTCACATTTTGGGTGTTTAGAAGACTAGTTTATATGTCGCCATGCAATCTCCTAACTGTTCACAAATTTGCCTTATTTGCTGCCGTGATTCCCTGAGTGGCACTCGCTTCCTTGTAATCCATATTAAATATCGTTTTTCTCCTTTTAATTGCTTACTTTTAAAAATGTTATTTTTATTACTCAGCACCATTGTGCACATGGATGGTTGTGCTATTTAATTTCTATTTTAATAGCAAATAGTCATTGAAAATATTTATAAGTAAATAGTTGCTAATAGGTTTCAGAGTGGTAGCCGTGTTAGTCTGTATCAGCAAAAATGAGGAGGAGTGCCACAAGGACTCCTGGTTGTAGTTGCTAATAGTTTTAGCAATGACATCTGTGTTTCTAGGATAGCATTTCCTATGTTTTTACTGTGATTTTTAATTTGGAATTCTTAATTGTACATTTTTATTAGGACTGTCAAGCGATTAAAAAAATTATTCACGATTAATTGCACAATTAATAAAAATAATCACACAATTGCGCTGTTAATAGAATACCATTTAATTAAATATTTTTGGATGTTTTCTACATTTTCAAATATATTGATTTCAATTACAACATAGAATACAAAGTGTACAGTGCTCACTTTATATTATTTTTTATTACAAATACAGTAAAAGCTGTGTTATCTGGCACTTTACCGTCCGGAAAGCTCTATTAACCAGCATTTCTGATATCTCCCAGTACAAATCTTCAATCTAGTAACTGGGACTAGTATACGGCCCAGGAGGTTATGCAATTGCACATTCTGCACTCTACTTTTATGCAAAAGAGGCAGACGACAAGTCAGCAAGCTGATATCGGGGATTTGTTCAAAAAAAGCAGCCTCAGGGTATGTCATTGGGCTGAATCTGTAATGACCCTATCTCCTACACCTTCTACATCTACAATGATAATTGATGTTGATAATGATGACCCTGAGGTACTGCAAGATCCTGAAGTGCCTTCTGAATCATCAAAGAAAGATTAAATTATGTTCAGTATACTTTTAGTGTTCAGTGTATTTTTAGTGATCTGGGTGTACACCATGCGCTGCCAATAGGGATATGTAGTGTCATAAGATAACCTCCTGTATAGAAAACTTTCCCTGTCTACACCTAAGTGCTTCAAGAAACCAAGCACTCTGCAGTGCACTACTACTACAGGATTGGTGAGTATCTGTCTACTAATTTATACTTTATTCATTTTATTGTATTCTAATTCTTTGAAAATTGGTATTCCATGGGTAAGTATAACTTAGTTAACCAGAATATTTGATTAACCCGCACCCTCCATTCCACCAACATGCCGGATAACAAAGCTTTTACTATATTTGCACTGTACAAAACAAAAGAAATAGTATTTTTCTATTCACCTAATACAAGTACTGTAGTGCAATCTCTTTATCATGAAAGGTGAACTTACAAATGTAGAATTATGTACAAAAATAGCTGCATTCAAAAATAAAAGTGTAAAACTTTAGAGCCTACAAGTCCACTCAGTCCTACTTCTTGTTCAGCCAATCACTCAGACAAACAAGTTTGTTTACATTTACGGGAGATAATTCTGCCCGCTTCTTATTTACGTCACCTGACAGTGAGAACAGGTGTTCCCATGAAACTGTTGTAGCTGGCGTTGTCAGATATTTACATGCCTTCCCCCTCTCACTGCCAGGGCAGATGCCCCCTTCCACTTCCTGGTCTCTAGTTCCTTTGCCCCATCTCCTGTAGCCAACTGTCTAGTGTAAAGCCATGGTTTGCTTTGCAGAGCCAGCTGGCATCCGCCCCTGTCAGATTGCTGGTTACCAACAGAGAGGAATGGATGGAAGGTGTTTGCAGTGGGCGTCTCTTTCCCCGGCCAGGGCTGTTCCGGCTGACCTCACATACCCCTTCTCTTTGTGCCCATGCGTGTGGGAGCGCTGACACATGGGGGCACGTTGCCCTCACTAACATTGGAGGGGAGGGGAAGAGTGACATTTACTGACTGACCATAACAGGGATCCTGGGACTGACACAGCTACAACAGCACCGCACATAATGTGCGCGCTGCTTTTCCTCTCACCTGTCCTCCAGGAGTGCTGCACATGCTCAGCCTGTGGAGGTGCTGTCTCTCCCTCCCCACCCCAGAGGTGTCTGCATTTCGGTCCCTGTGTCTGCCTCTTGCATCACCCTCGCTCTCTGGAAGTGCTCTAGGGTGGGGTTGGTGGGGTGGGACGGTACTGACTGCTGGCACGCCTGCTGATACTGATTCTGAGGCCTTCCCTGCAGCCAGTGAGAGGAAGCTGATCACAGCCCAGCACAGGAACCCCCGTGTCTCTCGCTAGTGGGGAGATGAAGAAAAGAGAGGGTCCCATGGAGCAGAAACTGCAGCGGAAGGAATATACTCATTGCAGTGGAGACCCAGAAGAGGACCCAAGAAATCAGAGCACCGTTGTGTGGACACAGGCCAGGGAGAGGATCCGAGACTTATATAGACGGATCCGTAATTTTATTGGTGGGTGTGACTCCCCGAATCCTACTTCCCATGGGGGACCTGATCCCTCTGCTAGATGCCATCAGGCAGTTTCCCAGCTCGTACCTGCAGCTACTGTTGTACGCAGCCCCTCAGAAGGTGCTGATCTCCGATACGTTGCCTTCCCCAAGGTAGGGTCAGGTAATCATATGGCCAGACCCTCTGACTGGACTTGGAGCAACCTGGTCTAATGCAGGGAGCTGGACACAGTGCCTGAGATTCTGATCCCCAGACAAGGGGGCAGAGGCTGCAGAGTGAGGGTGCATCTGCGACAGACACATTTCCCATCCCTGCTCCACTCTGTGCCCTGGTGACCTGGCACGCTCTGGGTAACCGTTCTAGAAGCTGTAGGGAGGAGGAAGGGGGTTAGTGATGAAGTGGAACTGATCCATAATTACCTGACATCCTCCTATAGGTCCCTTATCCAGACTTGCTACTGTGATGTCTTCAACTAAAAGCCCAGCGAGCAGGTGGTTTGGGGAGGGGAAAGGGGTGAAGAAAAATATTGGTATATTTTGGTATCCCTTCCGATCATCTGTCTTCTCAGATTGTAAACTCTCTGGGCAAGGAACCGTATCTTCCCATGTGTTTGTAAAGCACCTATCACAACAGATCTTGAACCCGACTGATGCTGCACACAAGTATAATTTATGTACACCTCTACCTCGATAGAACGCTGTCCTCGGGAGCCAAAAAATCTTACCGCTTTATAGGTGAAACCGCATTATATTGAACTTTCTTTGATCCACCGGAGTGCGCAGCCCTGCGCCCCCCCCCCCCCCCCCCCCCCCCCCCCC